GAAAGACAAAGGGAGAGAAACATCCATGTTGGAGTGAAACATTGACCGGTTGCCTCTTGCACCCCATCTGGGGACCTGGCTCACAAGCAGCGACCTTTTGGTTCATAGGTCAGCACTTAACCCACTGAGCCATACCTGCCAGGGCTGTGACCCACTTGTAATTAGGTATTTTTATGCTCAACACCTTCCTATGTGGTTACTTTTGGTCTCTGAGTTTGTAAGGCCTGGCAGGTGGGCCTCCCCGAGCTTGTCAGGTTTCATATGTTGGCCCCCTTTTTGTCCACATAGATAACTTGTCCGGGTTTACACTGTCAGTTCAGTAGTAAAACCAGGATTCCAAACCTGGTGGTGCTAGACCTGCAACACCTCCCCGGCTTCCTCTTCATTCAGAGGAAATAGTCCAGACAGTGTCTGTGTCAGGAGGCCAGGCATTCTGGAAGTTAGTCAGGCAGCAAATGATCTGCTCTTCCACCTTGGCTTCTAAATGAGGAAAGCCATGGTCAAACCCCACAAGATGTCAGGTGACAAAAGGTATCGGGTTCAGGGCATGGCCCTCCTTCCTTGACACAGTGGATTTTTCCTTTCTTGGGAAGCAGCTTCAAACATTTGAACCCGTCTGAGTTTCTCCAAGGGCCACTGATGGGGCCTGGGAGAAGGGAAGCAATTCAAAGCTTGGTTCTACCCCTCTTCATTTGGGTGACGCTGGGCCACAACACTCTACTGAGGAATGCTTAGAGACCATTCTCCCTCCCCTGGTCTTCCCTCCTCTGACCGGCTGCTCACCTGCAGACTCAGCTTATTGATTCCTTCTCTGAAACATGTAGTGATCCCTAACTCCCTCCACAGTGTACCCGCATGCTCTGGGCATCAAGACCACTGCACCATCTGGGTCTACAGTCTCCAGAACACTTTTCAGCCACACCCCACCAACAAAGGTGGAATTGTATCCATGGGCAACCTGGTCAACCCCTGGCCTGCTTCCAGACAGCTACTAAGTAGGCACAGTCCTTCCAGAGCGTTTCCATTTTCTATATTTTTAAGGTAAAATTTATGGTGGAATGCACAAATCATAAGTGTATAGCTGAACGAGTTTTGATATATGCAAACACTCCTGTCACCCAAGATACCCCTACCAAGAGATAAAACACTTCCACTACTACCATCCACAGAAAGTGCCTCTTCTACCAGCTAGCTCCTCCAACCCAGGGACCATGTCAGGCTGCCCTTGTGACCTCAGGACCCAGCAGAGCACTCAGCAGTTAATAGACACTTCAAAAATAAAAAAAAAGTTTTTATTGATTTTTTTAGAGAGAGGAAGGGAGGTGGGGGAGAGAAGGAAAGAGAGACATCAATCTGTTGTTCCACCCATTTATACATTCATTGGTTAATTCTTGTATGACTGGGAATCAAACTCACAACCTTGGCATATCAGGACAATGGATCTAACCAACTGCGCTACCCAACCAGGGCCAAAAATTTTTTATTGATGTTTTAAATAGAGCAAAATCCCCACATTCTAGTACTGCTCTAGCCTCTGTCACTTTGGGAGAGTTGCTTAAACAGGTTCTTTGCCCTTGAAGTGAGAACCATACCCCAGCCCTCCTACGTTAGGAAAATGGGGGGTCTGCTGAGACAACCTGTGAGAAGCGGTTTGAAAAAAGGCCTGAACATGTGCAAGAGCTGTGATCATTACCATCATCATTATTATTATTTAACAGTTTTTAATGAAAGCTGTATATGAGATTACTCCTGCAACTTCTCAATTGTTTTGTCCTTATATTTGCTCTTTTCCTTTCCTACTTGGTGAGATTTAGCTTTATGTTTAAGAATCTTTTTACAGTCTGTCTAGCTTTAGTCTCGTGATGACCACCTCGCTGGGGTGAACGCCACACAAACAGCTGTACCATTAGCACGCTCCCACCACACCCATTCAGTGTAGGGGACGTGTTTCTTCCGCACAGCTGGACTACGCCAATTTGCTGCTCTTTGCAGTGTCCTTGTGCAACCTGAACATCATCCTTTCAGATGGGCACAGATCAAACATTGTGCTTCTGTCTCAGCTCTTTTGAAAAAGAAGACATAACCTTCTTGTGAAGAACTATGTGGGAAGGTGCATTGAAGTGCCTCTTACGGTTCTTGCTCTGGTCAGAAATCAGAAAGGGATTGAACTTCATTTTGGCCGCTGGTGTTTAGCGATGGCCGAGAATGGAATGAGCAACCATTATTACTAATAAACTCCTACTTCTAGGACAAACATCCAGCTGAAAGTAACCACAAAAGAAAGGCATCAGACACTGACTTCCGGACTTGGCTGCTTGGGCTCCGGCCAAAGTCTGAGGGTGCCAAAGACGGTCAGGTTTTTTTCTTCTCTGCCCGTGGACCCAGGCTGTGAACTGACTTCCAGGGCCACGAATTTCCTGAAATTGCAAAGGATTCTCCCCAAGCTGTCACACAGCCTTCTCTGAGCCTCAGTTTCCCAGTAAAATGCAGGTGCTAGACAAGGACAATCTCTTCTGGCTCCTCCGACTCCAGCTTAGAAGTTTAGGTTGAGTTGTTGCCCTTCCTCAGCCTGTGGGGCTGACAGGGATCTGTCACAACACCTAAAAATTCCAGCAGCAAAATCCCCCAGAATATTCCTTTGACGGCATTGACTCACAATGCTTCTAGTGCTTAAATCTGATCTGCAATGAATTTTTATAGATTGTTGCAACCAGTTCTGAGGAATGGCCAGGGGTCTGGATGGCCAGTTTTTTTGTTTTTTGTTTTTGCATAAAGCTCAAGGTTTGAAAGCGTTTTGTTTGTTTGTTGTTATTTTTAAATAGCATCTGCTAGATGCTCAGAAGCACCCTAGACAGTGACACTCTGGAATTCCATGGTCACTTCTTGGAAAAGCGGCACTGTCCAGTCTAGTAGGAACGAGTGGGCCAGGAGGAGCTCAGGGGGAGCACTGTGACGGCAGAGAAGTGCACAGCGACTGGGGCAGGAGGGGCTGGCTCCCAGGGAGGACATGAGAGGGCAGCGTTACCTCTCAAGCTTAGGGTCACACAGGATCCTTCCACTACTGTAAGGTCATGATAAGAGTTAAGTGCTGACACTATATACCAGGCACTGTCCTTTATATAATTTTTTACCTAATCCTTCCATTTACCCTCTAAGGTAGACATCTTATTATCTTCATTTTACATATAAAAAAGTGAGGTAAAAATAACTTGCTCCAAGACTCACTAAGTAAGTGGCAGAAAATGGGTTGAGAGTGAGGCGGTGGGGCCCCACGCCTTCCCTCCCAACCCTCACTGCTCTCAGCCCCCTGAGGTGTAGGTGGGTGGAGATGGGCGCCCCCTCCTCTCCCAAGACCCACACTGCTTTCAGCACCGAATGCCAGTGCCAGCTGGGTTTCTGCTCACCCTCTAGATACCTTGTGTATGTTTTTTTCAAGTTTTAATTCAAAATATATTCACAAGCAGTTGCAAAAATAGTATGGAGTATTGATACATGCTACAATCTGGACAAACTTTTAAACATCACTGTAAGTGAAAGAATCCAGTCACAAAAGACCACATATTATATAATTTTATGTGTATAAAATGTCCAAAATAGGTAAACCTACAGAGAAATTAGTGATTGCCTAGGACCGGAGGGAATGGGGAAGTTCTTAGGGGGTGACCACTAATGGATTCAGGTTCCTTTCCAAAGTGATGAAAATGTTTTAAAGTTAGATTGGGGCCATGGTTGCACTGTGAAATATACTTAAAAACATTGAATTGTACACTCAGTGAAGCTGTCAAACAAAAAACAAAAGGGCTTTGAACCTTTGAGAGGCAAAGCCATCCTTGACCCACTTGCACCCCACTTAAAATAGAGAGATCCCATGTCTCTATTACCCAGCTTCTCCTAGGGAGGTCCTCTTACATAACTATATTAAGTGTACCTTCCTCTTTAAAGTGGGGATCCTGAAGGTCCAGAGCCCTTATTTCAGCACTTTAGGTTCAGATCCTGGTAATAATACCTCACCCATCCCCTGGGCTTTACAAAATACCCGACCCCACACACAAACACCATTTGACCCTCAAGGCAAGTCTGTGAGCCAGGACCGCCTCATTACTCGGTTTTCTTGGTCAGGAGATGCTTCCTCTCACCCCAAACTCCCTCTGTAGGGTTTGCCAAACTTAGCAAACAAAAATTTTTATCTGTCAACCCTGTAAAGCACAATAGTTCTAATGTGCCAGCCAGTCCTTGGTGGGTCTGCTCATCATTTTAAGGCAATATTGATTACAGACTTTTGAGAACTGAAAGGGCTCTGAACCCTCTCTTAGACCAGCCTCACCCTTTGGCCTGGGTCCAGGCCAAAGCCTCACTTGGGCCATTTTCTCTAGCCTTTCTATTTGTGCCTCAGTTTGCCCACCTAGAGGCGAGTCCAACATTCCCCTGCAGATATATCGCAGGGTGACGGGCCGGCGGGAAGGCCAAGGGGAGCCCGCTGAAGTGGAGAGTCCCACTCCAGGCCTTCTGTTAGGATTTAGGCAGGCAGGAAAATGAGGAATAAGGATGGTACCTCTCTGGGTTTGGCCCTCGTACAACTTCCCCTCCTCCCAAGCCGGGGCTAAAATCCCAGCAGGGGTAGATCGCGACCTCTTTGCCAAGCCCAAGTCCAGTGGACCTTCACGGATCCGGTCCAGAACCTAGAAAAGTCGCAGCGCACCTCTGGACGCAATCGCAGACAAATGCCGCGCCCTTGCCGGTCCCACCCCCGCACCCCACAAACTACAATTCCCAGGAGGCATGGGCTGCAGGACCGGATATCCCGGAGCAGCGCGTTTGCCACCGGAAGACAACGTTCCTGGCGGTGGGAAGTCCGTCGCCGAGTGGGAGCTCCTCTGAAACGGAGAAGGGGGACCCCTCTCCGCTTAAGCCCGGCTCCCGGGCTCTGCACCCACCTCTCCGCTGTGGGGTTGCCGGCGCTAGCTGGCCTCCCGAACCTGAGCTTCGCCCAGCCCTAGCCTGTAGCTGAGGCTGCGGGGTGGGGGTGGGGGAGGGGATGGTGGAGTGGGGGTGTTGGGCCGGACGCGCTGGAGGGTTGCCAAGGGCGCCTCCCAGACCTCTCCTCCATCACCTGGAGCCAACTCCCTTTCGTGGAGGGAGGAGCATCTCCGACCTGAGGCTGGACCAAGCCCGTTAGGGCCCCTGGGTGGCCCATAGGGCTCCTTGGGAAACCCAAGGAAGGCTTAGTTCCTCCGCGTCCTGGGATGTAGGTCTGAGTGTTCGTGCCCAGGCTTCAGCTTTACATGGCAATGCCAGGTAAGGCTGAGGGGACCAGGGCACTCCCATTCGGTATGTTTTCTCTCACAGTGCTGGGCTCACACCTCAGGATCAGGCGCCAGAACCTTTGTCCTAACTTCTGAGGTTACCCAAGGATTCTCAGTGGCGCTGCAGAAAGGACTTACCAAACCCTTCAGTGCAAGCCAGGAACTCAGGGGTCCAGCCTGTTCGGTGGGATGAGCTGTGCTGAGGCCCCGCTTCATTCACCCTCCGGGCCCAGGGCGTTCTCTCCAGAGGCTTCTCAGCTGATTTCTGGCTCCCAAGTGGGGATTCAGGTTACACCTGTATCGGGAGCAGTGACACCACAGTGACCAGCAACACATTGGACTTTGTGTCTCCAACCTCATTTTCAGCTTTTACACTTTCTGATCTGGTCATACACTGCTATGTCCCTGACCATCAGGGTTGATAGGAAAAGGCCCAGTATAGCAAGGACCCTCTAATGGCTGTGAGATTTTCTTTTTCTGTAGTTAGTTCGAGACCAGCTACTTCCTGGAAATACTCCATTTAATAAGTTGGAAAAAACTCCAGAGAGGATGTGCCGATCGCTCCGATTCCGTTGCTAGCAGGAGGTGGGGTCATAATAACTGGTCAGGTGGTCTCTAAGTGTGCTCAGTTTTGTCTGGGAAGTTCTCAGAGGCTTGGTTTTCCACGCATTTCTGTTAAGACAACCAGCCTTTTGTTCAGTAGCCTCTCTGGCCCTAGACACAAAAGATAGATACCATAGAAACTTGGAGACCTGCACTGCCCCAGTTGCTGGGCTGGTTAATAGGAGCCTGTTCTCTCCTTCCACAGTGGGCTTCTGCATTCCAGAGCATAGCACACGACTTTTGAATAAGAGCCTGTGTTACTTGCCTATAATGTGCCAGAAGCCATTTAATGCCCATCTCTGCTTCCTGAATATACAGTGAGCAGGATGCAGTTAAAGTCACCGGGCAGTGTTGGTAGGTCATTACGGGGAATGTGGCTGAAGGTACAGTGTACTAAAAGTGGGTTCTTTCCCCTTCAGAACTTTGGGGGCCACGCAGGAACATACGTACTCTGCACATGGAAATGCCTGCACCTACAATGCCTGCTTACACTTTCTGATGCAACTACAGGATTCCCACTGCAGCACAGGTATCTTTAGCACATGAATGGTTTCAATAAAAGTTTGTTAGAACTGGCATTTAAAGGGGGGAAGCGGAGGATGGTAAGGGGGGATTAAATGGTAATGGAGAGAGACTTGATTGGGGTGACAGACACAACACTGTGTACAGATGATGTGTTGTAGGATTGTGCACCTGAAACCCGTGTAATTTTGTTGACTGTCACCGCAGTAAATTCAATAAAAAGGAAGAAAACTAGCTTTCAAAAATCAAACAAAATTCATAGTTTTAATAACACCTTTCATGTGTAGTAGAATTATGGTTGAATTTTTGCCTTAATATTGTTTGTACATATATTTTAAATATTTCATGTGTATGGGACCTCACAGATTTCGCAGCAAGGTCTTCCTATCAATAACAGGCAAGAAAGCTTGTGTCGGCGGCCCTGCAGGACACGCCCCTCTGTCAGCCAGTGCCGGAAGTGAGGGGCAGCCGCCCTGCTTCTTGTCACCACCAGGGGTCACCCTTTCCCGTGGAACCACTGCTCAGGCCCCTATATGTCCTGGGACTAGGGTGAGGGACTGGGCTTTGGTCCTATGTGCCTAATTAGACGGCCTTGGCCGGAGGTCCAGCATCCACCTCCTCTTTAGTCCCAGCTTTTGTTGGTAAAGGTGGGGAGGGTGATCTCCGGGCCCTCCACACCCATCAAGGAAGGATGTGGGGATGGAGGCACATCTTAGAACATCTGTATCTTGTCTTTCCTAAGGGGAAGGTAGAAGGCCAGGCTGGTTTTCCAGTCTCTCTAGGCTCACCTGTCTTAAGAGAAAGGAACTAGGGTGCCGTGGGAATAGGAGAAGCCTGGCACCCAGGCTCTGGAAGAAGGAAGCCTAAGCAGGGCCACATTACAACCGGCCAGGGAGTTGGGGGAGGGGAACTGGGGAGGAGGTAGACCGCCAAGGAGGAATACAGGCCCCTCCCCTCACACTCTGGAAGGTAGAGAAAAGGACCCTGTAGGGTGCCGTCCAGGTCGTCAAAGTTGCCCAGAGAGGAGCCCTTGGTAATTTATATGCATTTAGAGGAGGGGGTATTTGCAGGTAACAGGGAGGGACACTGCTCAGTCTAGGGCTGGTGGCCAATGGACAAGAAAGGAGAAAGCCATGGCTCTTTCAGAAGACAGAAACCAAGGATGTTTGCAGAGAGGAGGGCTTTGAGTAAGATTTGAATCCACAGCTACAACACATATTTTTTGAGAGCCTGCTGTGCCATGCTGTGGGTAGGGCTCTTGGAATTTGGGGGTGAACCAAACAGACACAGTGGCAACCCATTTAGAGGGTTTACAGTTGAGTACAAGTCTGTAGTCTAGCCCTGAAATAAACCTGTAGATTTGGCTATGGTTGGAGCCCCAAGAGTATGGGGGACAGACTGCCCTGGTTTGGGATCCTCAGCTTAAGCTGTGGACTGAAGGAAGAGGGCCAGAGTGAATCAGCAGAAGAATGGCAGGTGCACAGCCCTCAGACAGGAAGGAGCCTGGCAGTGGCCGGGTGCCTCAATCAGTTGGAGCAGCATCCTGTGCATCAAAAACGTTGCGGTTCTGATCCCCACTGGGGGTCCCTACAGGAGGCAACCAGTAAATGTTTCTCTCTTATATCGATGCTTCTCTCTCTTCCTCTCTAAGATCAATGATTTTTTTTTTAAAGGGCAGAGGGGGCCCTGGCTGGTGTGGCTCAGTGGATTGAGCAGTGGCCTGTGAACCAAAGAGCCACCAGTTCAATTCCCAGTTACGGTATATGCCTAGGTTGTGAGCCAAGTAGTGCCCCCAGTGGGGGGCGCTTGAGAGGCAACCACACACTGATGTTTCTCTCCCTCTCCCTTTGCCTACCCCTCTCTCTAAAAATACATACATACATAATTTTTTAAAGGGTGGAGGGGAATAAAGAGGGAAAATGGGACAACTGTAATAGCATAATCAATACAATATATATTTTTTTAAAAAAGGAGCCTGTTTGAGGTTAGAAGGAGATGAAAGAACCATGTAGCATTACGTGTTTGCATTTTACCTGGGCTTCTTGAATACCGGGACACCTCTGGACTCTTCCCTGGATAGAATCTGGGCAGTGGGCTAATGGATCAAGTTTAAAATCAAAGGAGCTACAGTGATCCGCATAGTAAGGGGCTCAGGTGGAGGGGAGAGGGCTCGGGTCTGGGGGAAGGAGAGTGCGCTTCAACCACCTGTGGAGAGGACATTGCCAGATGCAGAGATAAGAGTGGATTTGGGAGGGGTGGTCAAAGGTTTTTGAAGTATAACATACATCTAATAGAGTCCTTTCTCAATTTATTTTTTATACTGTGTTTTGCTGTATATTAAGACGACCCTCCTTTAAAGATCTAAATTCTTCCAGCTGAAATTTCCATATGTCAATAGGGTGCAGAATGGGCCACCTGGGGCTCCAGCTGTGGAACCACAGAGAGAAGGTGGGTGTTAGTGAGGCCATGGGAAAAGGGGAGAAGCTGGGGCGAGAGAAGTAGGTAGTGGCGTGAGCTTACGAGGCAACAAGAAGCGTTTGGTGTTCAGGCAAGCAGTCATGGGCATTCACTCAAAGACTTTAGGCAGAGCCATCACAGGACACAGTCTGCTAGAGCAAAAGTTCCGGAACAGGGGAGGGCAGGGGGTGCGAAACAAGGGCGCACTGCCCCTCAGGGACCGAGGAAAGCAGGGTGATGCCAGCTTCTTCACCTCACCCTTAGAGGCCAGGAAAAGCCAACCTGGACTTTCAGCCCAGCCCTAACCCTTGGAATCTGTTGAAAGCTAGTGTACTGCCTTCCAGAAAAACAAAGACAAACTACACACCAACTTTTGTTTCCACGTTCAGGAGAGATAGAGGGAGGGTCTCTTACAAATCTCTGAAGGTGCAGCAAAAAAAGAAAAAAAAAAACTATGTACCAAGGACGAACAAGAGCCAGAGTCCCATTTTAGGAAGCTTGTCTGGGCCTCTGTCCGTGTGTCCATTAGTCCTCCATCTCCCATTACACCTGCCACCCGAGTAAGCTGACTGGGCAGGCCTAGGAGGACAGTGGGCTGCAGAGGAAGAGGGGTCTGCCAGCTCCTGCTAAACCAGGCCCGACGGTCCCCTTCATTCCTCTTCTCTCCCTGTTGCCAACCACCTTGCTTCAGGACCGTTCCCGACTTTAACTAACCCAACCACAGACAGTTCAACTGGAGCTTGACCTGCGTGGGTAAAAATACCCTGAGGGCCGAATTCTCCCTTATACCCCACAGGACCTCGTCCTCACCCCAGGCCTGCCCTCCACACCCCTTCCTGTTCAGGCCTGTCCCGTGCCTGTCCTCTTTCTACCCAACTCTTTGCTTCTCTGGATTCCAACTCCCCCAGGAGAAAAATCTTTGCATTCTCAGTGCCCTTTGCCTCTACTTCCCTGGCCATGGGGAACCTGGCTGTCCTGTGGTGGCCTCACATTCCCAGGCCCTACCCTTGGCCTCACCTCCCACTGTGAGGGCCCCGCCTACCCTTAGGACATTTTTCTCCCAGCACTTCCTGGTGTTTGGAACCTGTATTGATTGCCCTGGCTGGTGTGGCTCAGCCGGTAACGGAAAGGTTGTGGGTTGGATTCCTGGTCAGGGTACGTACCTAGGTGGCAGGTCTGGACACGTAGGGGAAGCAACCAATCAATGCTTTTCTCTCACATAGATGTGTCTCTCCCTACCTCTCTCTCTAAAAGCAATGAAAAAATGGCCTCGGGAGAGAGTAAAAATAAATAACTAAAGATATCTGTATTGACTGATATTTTTAACTATAAAAATAGTTACTGTTTGTTGTAATAGACATCTCAAGAGTATAGAAATATAAAGCTACGGCACAGTCCTGCCTGGTCCCATGCTCCTGGGAGATGCGTACACCTGGCTGCAGGGTTCAGACTTTTGGCCTCCATGGGGTGATCTCACTGATGCTGCAGTTTCCTCTCTTAAAATAGAACTCTAGTTCAGGCTGACAAATAATTGATTGAAATGATTCCTAGCTCACAGCCTTCCCAGGAGGGCTACAGGACCAGCCAGGGACATGTCCCAAGGGTTATAGCCAAGCTGGACTAGTGGAGGCACCCTGAGCACGAACACCACCGTTGCAGCACAACTGACCCAGACCCCAGGTCGCACCATAGGGTCTCCACCTCTTCCCAGGGTGGAGTCCTCTTGGTGCCTACTTCACATTCAAAGGCTAGCATGAGGACATTTGATTGGCAGAATGCCTGTACCCCAGCTGCAAGGGAATCTAGGAAGGCCTCATCTGACTTATGTGGAAGGAAGCAGTATTCTTGATGGAGAACTCTCCAGAGGCAGATGTCCCCGTCAGTTCTCTGGGAGTCCGGCCACCTCTATTTCAGCAGGTCCTGCTCTATGAACCACACCGCTCACACCTGAGACCTCAGGCTACAGCCTGCTTACCTGTCCTTCAGGTTCTCGGAAACCAACCATCCTCACAGTGCTCCCTACTGCGCTCCACCAGGGGTCCCTATCTGCCGACAGCCAGCGCTGCAGCCATGGCACCACCACTCAGGAAGAGCTGGCATCCACTGTGTGCACACTGTGTGTTTCACATGTCGTCATGTCATTTGACCCTGAGGCCCACCCCTGGCCCCCGCCAGGAGGAATGCCTTATTGATACCCCCATTTACACGCAAGGAGGTGGGAGCCCAGAGAGCCCGAGCCTGTCCTTGGGTTTGCCCCTCCCTCACTCATAGTGGCCCCTTGCGAGCAGGGTCTGTGTGGTGCTCCTTCTCTGCTGGGGATCCTTGTTTCCCAATGAGCTACAGGCTGCACCTCAAAGTGTCCCAGCAGTCGCGTCTTCTCAGGCTCCCACAGAACAGCCTTGACTGATCACAAGATTGCTCTACGTTGCTTGTTAGGCATAATGTAGATTCCTAATTCTCTCCTGGAGCATCCAGCTCTTACAATTTCAGGAAGGTCAGGAATCTAGGGTGTTTGACAAGTCCTCCAGGGACTCTTATGACCACACAGACCAGGAGATACTTCTCCAGGTAGCCGTTCGTTTCCTCACGGTGGACTGAGACCGCCCTGGGCCTGTAAATTATGAGCTGCTCTCAACGGAGATCGGAACCTGAATAATAAACAGGGAGAATCATTTTGTGCTTTGGAAGGGCAGTCATGTGCTGCCAGACACTGGGGCCCTGACACCTTCAAAATATGTTTCCAGAAATTCTCCTGGTAAACTCGGCCCTGGGGAGTAGCCATGGTTGTGCACAAAGCAATCCTGTGCCAAAGATGGACAACGACGATGTCCACCTGTGCCTGTGTGACCAGCAGGACGCAGTCCTGCAGGCCTGGCTCGGGGGACAGAGCCAGGAGGCAGGCCTCCTTCCTGTTCCTTCTCCCCATGTGCCAAGGCCAGTGACTGCGCCGGGAGGAGACGGCATAGATTCCACCCTCCGCCTGAGGCCCTTTGGCTCACCCAGGCCCTGACATTTGCCTATGCAAAACCCTGCATGGAGGGAGGGTGTGGCTGAGTTGAAGGCAGTGTGGACTGGGAAACCCACTCGGTTTGGTGTTCGCAGTGGGGTGGCAAGTAAAGTCTCTTGAAACCTGCATTGATTGCCCTGGCTAGTGTGGCTCAGTTGGCTGGAGCATAGTCCGTAATAGAAAGGTTGAGGGTTCCATTCCTGGTCAGGGTACATACCTAGGCTGCCGGTCCAGGTCCCCAGGGGAAGCAACCCTTTGACTTGCTGACTCTGGTGCCATAGGAGGTCACCTTGCATGGGGTTAGTTGCCACCTGCCTTATGGTCCAGATGTGGAACAAAGGTCAGCTGGGGAGCAGATGTCAGGGAGGAGACCCCCACCTCTGACTCCGGGCCTGGACTCTCTCTTTGTTTTTTGTTTTCTCACTTTTTCCACTGCATAAATAGGCTCCCTGTTAAGCCACCCCAGTGACTCTTCATGGCTTCTTAAGTGCCTTTCACCTGTAGGCTGCAGCACCTCTGAAGGCTGCAGCAGTTTCAGCCCCGGTGCTCTCTCTGCATAGCCCCCCAGCACCGTGGCCTCTAAAGACGCAAGCACATGGCCTTCAGTTCCCCTTTGTGCCAACAGCCAGGACCTCAGCAAAGTAATAAACACAGGAAAATTACAGTGCCCTATATCATGAAGGCCTTACAGTCATGATCCTGGGCTGTGTTTCCCCATTCCCTGGTTTCAACAGAATCAGACACGGAGCTCCAGCCCTTCTTTTTCCTCCAACTCTTCCCAGAAGTCAAAGTTCCTAAACTCACTCAGGTAGCAGAGCGCTGGACGTCATGGGTTCGTTAAGGAAGTCCGCGAGTACCATGTGTCCAAGTTCATCACAGGAGAGTGGGGTCAGGACCCAACCCCAGGTGAAGCACAGGGCGGCTCAGTTGTTAGTGTATACGCTCTGGGCCGGGCAAATTTTGGGTTGAAACCCACCTTCCACACTTACTAATTACGTCACCTTGGGAAAGTCATTCAACTTCCCAGAGTCTCTCAGTGCTATGGTTTGAATTGTGTTCCCACAAGATTCATATGTTGGAGCCCTAACCCCCAATGTGATTATATTTGGAGACAGAATCTTTAGGGAGGTAATTAAGGTTAAATGAGGTCATAAGGATGAGGCCCTGATTTAACAACAGCCCTGACCAGTGTGGCTCAGTTGGTTGGAACATTATGGAGTAACGAAAGGTTGCCAGTTCAATCCCTGGTCAGGGCACATACAGGAGGCAACCAATAGATGCTGCTCTCTCACATCGTTGTTCCTCTCTCTCCCTTCCTCTCTCCGTAAAGCTCTCACTGAGAGCTCTGACTGGTGTGGCTCAGTTGGTTGGGCGACAACCGGTGAAAGGTCACGGTTTGATCTCGGGTCAGGGCGCACGCCTGGATTGTGGGTTCAGCCCCTAGCTGGGGCACATACGAGAGCCTGATCAATGTTTCTCTCTCACATCGATATTTCTCTGTCTTTTCCTCCCTCCATTCCCCTCTCTCTGAAAGAATAAATAAATAAAATCTTAAAAAAATAAAAGTGATGAGAAAAATGTCCTCGGGTGAAGATTAAAGACATTTTTAAATAAATAAATAAATAAACAAGTTAATTAATTTAAAACAGAGAAAGTGACACCAGAGATCTCTGTCCACTCAAGCACAGGGGAAAGGTCATGTGAGGACACAGCAAGAAGTTGTCTGCAGGCCAGGAAGAGAGTTCTCACTGGAATCCACCGGTGATGACACCTTGATCTTGGACTTGTAGCCTCCAGACCAGAAAAGAAATTTGTCGTTTAAACCACCCCACCTGTGGTGTTCTGTGATGGCAGCCTGAGCTGACTCATACACTGCGTTCTTTCATCTGAAAAGCAGGAATAAATCCAGTCCTTGAATTGTGAAGCTATTGCGAGAATCCGTTGAGGAAATACACGTGGGATGCCTGCCCGTTCAGTTTTCCTACAGCACCTTCAGCACAGTGTCTGGTGTATAGAGGATGTTTAATAAATACCTACCGAATAAACACATCCATCCGTCAGAAAAAGAAGCTTTCAAATTAAAAAGGAGCACATGTCTCTGAGCTTTTCACTAACCTCCATTTCCTTGGTCACTGATCATGACTCACCAGCAATGACAGCAGGCATGAAGGATTTAAGGAGAGTGTCCCAAGGACAATTTCCTGTTTTTAATTGGATCTGCCCATTAATGTGGTGTCTTATGAGAATTGGGAAAGGGCTGGTCTGGCTGACCCCAGGTGAGTCTGAGCCTCCAGGAGGAGGGGAGATTGAGCGGAGAGAGCCGTAGGAAGACGTGGACCCTTGTCTCTCCTTGCAGACCTGGGTGCAGAGGCCGGCGGGCTGGAGAGCACAGCTGTGGGGGTGGGGGGTGGGGAGGTGGGGGGGATGGGGCTGGGCCCTGGGTGTGGCAGTGGGCAAAGTTGGTCTGGGGTTGGAAGCCACAGCACGCCCACCTTCCAGGTGCTTGTGAGATGCAAATAATGGGAACAGTAGGGGCTCTGTCCCCAGGCCCTTTGTGGCAGAAGCTAGACTTCAGAAAGGCACAGCTCCTTCACCTTGGCCATGGTGAGACTTGGTTCTGGGGCAGCCCTAGGTGCACAAACCTGCCCTCCTGTGGGGGCCGTGGACTCTGGGCATGGAAAGGCACCCAGCCGTGCCAACCACTCCCTGATTCCCCTCCCTGCCTCTTTCCAGGACAAGCTCAGGGGGAGCAAGCCCCGGTGAGTACTCAGCTCCTCGCTTTCCATCTACCCTTCTCTCTTGCCTCCACCTCACCACGCCTTTCCTGGACACAGCCACCATTGGAGCGGTGGCTGCTGTGTCTGGGCCCTGCCGGCCCACCCAGTGGGACCGTGCCTCCACCACCCTGTGAGCACGAGGGCTCACCCACTACCAGCTGCCCTTGGCCATCGACTCACCCAGCCATGTACCCAGGGACACTAGCCCCGTCCTCAGACTCTTAACTCCTGCTGCCCTGTCCCAGGCTGCTGTCACACAGCTCCAGGGGGCTCCATTCACATGATCATCAATGCGAATGCCCTGGGATAGTGCAGTACATGGCTGACAAAAATTCAAGGGTCACTTGGGCAGAGTTAACTATAGTCTTATTGCAGGTTGGGGCCACCCCTTCCACCCCCCAAATGTGTAGGTAAGTGACACAGTGGGGGGGGGGGCTGGCAGAACAAGGTCCCTTGCAATTTTGAGTCTCCCCTGAGTGGCCTCTTCGCCATCTGTGTCCCTCATCGTTCAGCATTGCTGAGTCACTGGGGCCTCACTGCCATCTGCCCGGGTCAGAATGAGGAGCCCATGGGGCAGGGGACTGGCCTGGGTGGGACAGGCAGCTTGCCGGGAGGCGTTCCACGGCGCCTGCGTCACTGGCCCTGCCGTGGTGTTGGAAAGGCCCGTCATGAATGGTTCCTTTGAGCCAAATGAAGCACTGAGGCCTGCTGTGGAAGTGCGGATGGTTTATTGTACGGGGGAGAGAGAGTAAGTTGTTGTGCTAGACTGGGGGTGGGCTGGGAGGAGATGAGGCCGGTCCCATCAGGCTCCCTTCCAGACTCTCCAGGGTGGAGAACAGATGCCCCCTGCCCGTCTCCTCTGCCCACCCCCGGGGCCTGGAGAAACAGGGTAAGTCCAGCTGCTGAGCTGGAGGCTGGGGGTGGGGGAGGCGGGGGCCGCCACTCTGCGGGCACTCCATCCACCCTCCCTGTGCCCATTACCCCTTCCCAAAGGCCCAGGAAGAGGAGGAGGAAGAGGAAGATACGTATGAGCTGCCCCCCTGTGAGGCTCTGCTCCGGAAACTAGCCCCTGCCCACCTTCCTGGAACCGAAGAGGACTCTTTGTACCTGGGTGACGGTTGGGAAATGGAGGCAGAAAGTTTGGGTGGTCGGGCAGGGCAGGAGGGTCCCCACGAGGACAGAGGACGCAGGCCTGCTCTCTTCTGTGTCTGCTGGGCAGTGAAGGGACGCCTCCGCTGGCAGTTGCTGGGGGCTTTTGACTGAACGGGGACAGGGAGAAAGAGAAATGGAGAAAGGAAGGGAGGAGGAGGGGGAGAAGGAAGGCGGAAGTTGGGAAAGGGAGAGGAGTCTGGAGGGGCGGTGTAACCAAGGCAACAGTGGGAAAGCTGGAGGCCCAGCTCGGTCCCGGGGGCCTGGTGTTCCTTCTCAGAGACCCCAGCAGCCTCAGAGCAAGGGTAGAGGTGCCCAGAACTGCCATCCCACCCCCACCCCTGGGGGGCTCTCCAGGCAGGGCCAGTTGGGGGCAGGGAAGCTGGCCTCCTCCGGTTGCCATGGAGACAGGACTGTCAAAAAGCCAGTGAGCGGGCAGGGCAAGGAGGGAGAGAGGAGGATATGGAGGCTAGGTTCGGGTCGGGAGGGAAATGGGAACCTACCTGGGAGGGACCTAGTGACTCACAATCTTGGGGTCTTTTCCAGATCACTCCGGCCCCCCGGGCCCGTCCAAGTCACCAGCACTGGAGCCTGAGCCCGAAAAGGTGAACAACCTCTATACCAACTCCTCCTTCCCCGTCCGCCCCACCCCAGGCTACTGTTTCCCAGTGAATAAATCTACGAAGCATCTCATTTGCAAGACCCCCACACCTGCATTCAAGGGACCCCTAAAAAATTAGATGCATCAGAGGCCTGAACCCTGTGAACAGCCGCTGCTCCCCTCTGTTTGCCTGGTCCTCTCACCCTCCCGGTGTGCATCACCCAGGACTCGCCTTCTGGTCAGAGGTGGGAAGGTTGGGGGAAGGAGACAGAACAGGCTCTGTTGCCCACCCCGGGACCCCGGGGCCTGAGGACCCCTCCCCGCTGAAGAGGGAAGAATCCCCCACTCAGCCGCCATGATCCCGCTTTGGGCTTTGAAGGCTACTGCTCTCATCATTCACTTTTATTGGAACAAAAAGAAAAACAAGGAGAGACTCACGACAAAGAGCCACAGGATGGAGGCAAAGGGAAGGTCACCCCCTTTGTACACTAACTTTGGTGTCTCAGTGTGTTTTCAAGCGGCACGGATATGCGTTGCCCTGCCACCCTTGCCCTCCCCACCCAGTTCTCCCTCACCACTCACTGTGTCCACAGCTGAAGGCAGCACTGACCCTGCAGGCGGCCGTGAAGCAGGGACAGCCCTCTGGGAGGCGAGGTAATGGGGACGTCCTCTCTCCAGGACCTATGCACTCCGCTGCCCTGAGGAGAGGGGAGTCCAGCCCCACAGGGGTAGAGCCACGCTGCCTTGCAGTTGGTCTCGTGCTCTACCTGGTCACTGCACACCCCCGGCTGCTCCCTATTTTCACCTGCCCTGCCATCCCCCCTAAGGTGGGCAGTTGAGGGGACTGAGGCCCCAGACATGAACTACTTTGCCTGAGATCACAGAGAAGCAGAGTCCGCTGTGGTCTCCGGGTCAGGTGAGGGGCTCACAGGGCGCCTGCTCTGCCTGAAGGACCCTCGCTACTGAGACACACCTGAATGTCACCCCCCACCCAGGGGCCCTCTGATTCCATTCATGTCATTATTGCCTCCACCATCCAGAGACTGTCCTTTAAGGTAAGTGCCTGGAGGCCTGTGACGCCAGAGCCCTGGATATCAGACTGGGGAGGGACCTTAGCCTGCACGTTTTTGTCTGAAAGGGGCCCCAGGACCGGCAGCTTCCCTCTGTGCAAGGTCAGACCCCGAACCCGAGGCACGTTTGTGTTTTACGTGCTCAGTGGTTGGTAAACCTTCGTGCCCTTGAGGGGGGTTTGATTTTTGGAACAGCTCAAAGTCATTTGGAGCTGAGCCTGGCAAATCGGTTGAGAGGTCAAGTCAGGCAGTGCCCTGGGTTTGTGAAGGAGGTGACGGTGGTGAGGGTGGCTTTCTACCAGGGCTTCGGTGCTGGCTCCGAGGATACCCCTGGATAAGTTCGAAGGATGCTCTGCTCCTCCAGCCTGTGTGACTCAATTCCTTTCTCCCCACGCATATGACTGACGGTCCTCTCCTTTTCCTCCCAGAGCTGACTGCACCAGCCCCAGTGGTGAGCGGCCCTTCCATCCCCACCTCACACTCTAGGGTTCTGGCTAGGAAGTTGGCAGGGTTGGTGTGGGGTGCCTGGGAGGACCAGGAAATGTCCTTGAGACTGAGGAAAAGGGCCCAGAGCCGAGTCCCTCCCTGTTGGCCACAGGCCCCTGGCAGGGTGTCAGCCTCTTGTCCTGGGGGTGCTGCCCAGAGCTACTGGGGATGGCCTTGCCCAGAGCTCTTCCCAGCCAACCACAGTCTGAGAGCCGGAGCCTGTGAGCACCTCTGAGCGGGGAGATGCTCGTGGGGTGCCCCTCTTCCAGGCCAAGGAGCAGTTTTAATCATTCCAGTTGGCTCCCAGGAGGAGGTTCACTTGTGTGTGAGGTGCCAAAGCCTCCCCACCCCCAGTGATGGCTCCGCCCTCCCTCCCACTCGCTTGTCAAACCCTGGGTCCCACATACCCTTCCCCCCCTCCCTTAGGTGCCAGGCTCTGCAAAGGAACCTGAAGAGGACATCTACCTGGAGTGTGAGCCCAGCCCAGGTGAACACTTTCCTCTGCCCCAGATCCATCACGCCCTGAGGCCCTCAGCTGCCCACGGCAAGACACGTACTTCTGACTCCGTTTTCTTCCCTCGTCTTTTCTCACCACCCCCACCAACACACGTTTGCCTTTGGACACACTCAGGGGCACACATACTTCCTCCTTCCATCCTGGTTGGCCCTCACATTGGCCACAGGGGTGGGACCCCATAGAGCCAGGGCTGTGGGGGGACTGCCTGGCGGTTGCAGCCTGGTTGGAAGGTTCCCAGGAAGCCCAGGCTGCAGGGAAGCGGCGGGTGGTGCAGCTGGCCTCAGCCCCTCCCGCCCGTGAGGTGTCCTCACCTCACTCCCAGCCCAGCAGGGCCTGCCTTCTGTTTTAGTCCCTGCTTTGCCTCCGATGCCCCCAGTCCCTCTGCCAAGGACATCAGTAGTACACAGGTAAGTGCCCTTCCAGGTGCGTGCGAGTGTGTGAGTGTAAGTGTGTGAGTGTGTGAGAGAGAGACACACACATGTACACAGGCTTCCGCAGCCCTGACCCTGGGATCTCTGGGTTCACTGGGCCTTTCTTCTTGAAGGAAATAAAGACCCTGACCTCTTCCCCAATTTTCTTCCCACAGGCCCCCCAGAGCCCCCCAGGAAGCCCAGAATGTAAGAGGCTTGTGGTCGGGGGAAGTGAGCTGGGAGGGAAGGAGACTGGGGGTGGGACTTCAGGCCCAGAGAAGCAGGCCTGCAGGGCCCAGTAGCTTCTGACCAGACCTCCTGTGTCCCAGGAAGCCGCAAATGCCACCCCTAAAGGCAAGTAGAGACATCTTCAATACGAACCCTGGGGAGTCCTGCCAGCTCCCGCCGAGCCACAGTCGGGGGGAGTCGCGGGTCACAGACACTCTCACAGCCCCACTTGCCCCACTTTGCTGAGGGGGTCCCAGCAGCTCCGCCCCCAGTTGAGAACAGGCCTGAGAGGGTCTGCCTCAAAGCAGGAGGCTTCCAGCCTGTACTTCAGGACCACCCCTCACTCGGAGGCCCTACGTGGCCTTGCTGGTGGGTCGTACCAGAGCCCAAGACCTAGAAAGGAGGGGTGAAATACCGGGTGCCCTGCTTTGGGTTTCCGCTTTATGCGCATGCCCCTCCAACTTCCCCCACAGCTGGGCCCCAAGCCTCCTTTGTCTAATCCCCTCGCAGCCCCAGCGCTATGATCTGCTTCTTCCAGCAGGAAGGAGCTCCTCTCTTTCCTCTGTAGCCCCCAGCAGAAACACCACAGCTGCCGAGGTGAGGAGGGGCCCGGAGAGGGCTGGGGGAGGAGGCCTGCCAGGAACACTCTAGGGCTGGCGTCTCCCATCGAACCCCTGCAACTCGCATCGAACACGTGTGTGCGGCAACCGTGCTGGGTACCAGGCACTGACACATCTTTGTTCAGCTCGCACAGACTCAGTCTGGGGAAGGCAGCTGTGAACACAAATAACTGCACCTGGGTTCTCCACTCCCCACCCCCTTCAGTTTGCCAGCACACAGTCTCTGAGTGTGTGTGTGTGCGTCTAGGATGACGGTCTGCTGGGTCAGCCTTGGTACTCAGGGAACTGCGACCGACATGCTGTTGAGAGCGCCCTGCTCCGATGCCAAAAGGTGGGCAACCGCTGAGCCCCTGGGCCTTCTTAGTAACCCCTTCTGCTCGTGGGCTGTGGCTGGGTAAGCAGACAGGGACGGTGGGGCAAGGTGTGGGGGATGGCCATCGAGGGTCAGGGCTGCAGGTGCATGCACGGAATATGAGGCTGATGGATGCGTCTCCTCCACAGGACGGGGCCTTCACCGTGCGCCCCAGCTCAGGCCCTCGTGGCTCCCAGCCCCTCACCCTGGCGGTGCTTCTCCATGGCCGGGTCTTCAACATTCCCATCCGGCGGCTGGATGGTGGGCACCACTATGCCCTGGGCCGGGAGGGCAGGCAGCACGAAGAGGTGGGTGCTGGATGAGGTGGGGGACAAAAGGACAACAGGGACACAGCAAAGAAGTGCCCTGGGCCTAGCCGGGGGTGTTTGCCTAGGGAAAAACCCACATTCTATGTTTTTCTGGAGCGGGTTCAAGTGACAGTGGCTAGTGACAGTTGCCAGAGGTCCACCTTCCGTTGGAGAAGGCACTTCCTCCTGCTGCCTCATTCTGCACAGGGTCTAGGTGGGAGCATTTGTACCTGGAGCGAATCAGCTGGGAGGAGGGCAGGGCCCAGATAGTCTAGACTCTCGTCGGTGCCAGGGCTCAGCTGGCGCCCAGCACTCGCCGGGCTGCACACTAGAGACAGTCACCCAGCACTCGGCTCTGCATGCTGGAGGACAGGGGTGGAAGCAGGTCCTCAGAGTTATCTGGCCTGGCAAATATGAGTTGGCTGACAGCAAGCCCCGGGGTGCCGTCACGGGTAAGTTGCACAAGGCCTGGAGTTGGGTAGCACAGTGGCAGTGGAGCCTCGTGACACAAACAGGAGGAAAAATATTTACAAAATGTCAAAAAGCCCTCTTGCCAGAGGCCAGCATTTCCTTCAGGAAGTTTTTCCCAGCACGAGGCCCCAGGGACTCACCGATGCCTCCCCTCTCTGTCCAGCACTTCTCCTCCGTGGCTGCCATGGTCCAGCACTACGCGCAGCACCCCCTGCCCCTCGTGGACAGACACAGTGGCAGCCGGCAGCTCACCTGTCTGCTCTTCCCCACCAAGCCCTGATGCGCCCCAGCAGATGTCCACACCCACCTCTGGCCCCATGGGTTGCTCCTGCCCCATCCACCTGTCCTCCTTGGGCTGTGTCCCTTCTCCTCTCCCAGGTCTCCACCCTTCCAGGCCCTCCTTGTCCACTGTCCCAGTTCCTGCAGGCCCCGATGAGAGGCACTGGAAACGGTTGCCCAGAGACTCCATGCCATGCTCACCCAGAGCCCACCCTCTCCAAGGCTGGGCAGTAAGGGTCAGGCAGGGCTCCCATTCCCAGCCTCCAGGAACGGCCGTGCACACCCTGTTGCTAAGGCTTCCCAAGCAGCTCTGGATGAAGGCCTCCTCAGGGGAAATAGCCTCCTGGGCACAGCATGGGCACTGCTGGGACACAAAAAGAATCCTCTCACATCCTTTTGAAGGCTTAATACAGGGCTGGCATCTTGGAGGGACTTGGTTGCCCTGCACACATTTTGCTTTCAATAAATACTTGTTGAATAAATCCTTGAATTTGCTGAGGAAAGCAGAGGTGGCTTCCATGAGGCTCCGAGGTTCTCAAGCGTCCCAGGGCACAGCCTAGTGCTGGGAGTGACAGCAGCGGTGGCCAGGCCAGGGCAATAAGGCCGCCCCGTTTCTGCCCACTGAACGGGGCGTTTGCCCTTACATGGTCTGTGCTGAGGACCATCTCCAGGGTGGCTGGTTCTTGTTTTGCTTTGTTTGAAGGTGGTCAGAGAGGGTTAGGGAGGGAGGCTCAGTGTGTATCTGCCACTCCGTAAATGGTGAGAATGGAGTGAAGTACAGGCAGACCCCAGGAAACCCCTGGCTACTGGGCTCGCCAGACCTAGAGTACTGACAGTGGCCCAGTGGCGGCGCTCCGAGAGCAGGAGAGGCCACCGGGGCAGCGCTGGCGGCAGGCCGCAGGCCGCGAGGCCCTGCGCGCTCCAAGGCTCCGAGCTCAGAGATGGGCGGCGGGGCGGGGAGAGGCAGGGCGGGTGGAGGGGGGAGGGTCCAGGCCTGGCGCGGCGCCCGGAACACTGGGTGCCGGAAGCGCCATGTGACTGTGACTCCGCAGAAACAAAGGGCGGCTCTGCGGCGCCCTGCGCACAGGCCGGCATTCAGGGCCTGCACTCCTATCCACTTCGGCCCCAGGCCGTGCCTCCGGACCGACCCCGGGCCCTGGACAGGCGGGAGGCGCGGGGTCCCAGGGGAGACCGGGAGAGATGGCCGAGGACACTGTGGAATGCGAGTGCGAGGCTGGGCTCGATGTTGATCAGAACCCGCCCATCGGGTGCTGAAGGTTGCCGCTGTCATTGCTGCTCTTGCAAATTACTTTGTCTGGGCCTGGATTTCCGTTCCAGAGGTGAAGATAGATAATCGTCCCCACCCAATTATTCCGGTGTCAGGAAGTTTAAGTGAGGCTTTCCTCATAAAACGACCAGGATTATGCCCGCCCTGATGCGCAGTACTCTAGCTCCTCTCACCCAAATAAGCATTTTCCATTCGCAGCAAGAGGGTAGTTTTCTGCCAGGGCACCAGGAAGAGGATCAGGACGGAGCCGCTGGCACGTGGCTGGGGAGGGTGATTAGCAGCTAGGAGCTGTAGCAGAAGCGGACGGGTAGGAAACCCCCAAAACAGCCTCCCTCAGTTCTGTCAGCCAGCTCAGGCTCCCTAGAGGTCCTGGATGGGAGTGGCTTCTCTCCTCTACACTTTCCCCAGACTGACTCCGGCAGAGTGGCCCTTACCAGGACCCACTCCCAGTTGAGGGACTCAGTTCAAGGAACTAGCTAGTCTCCATGCCTTCCCTCCCTAAGAAAAAGAGAGAAGGAGCAGTCCCAGCAGTGGGGACTATTTGAAATAAGGAACTCTGAATGCCAAAGAGTGTGTGGTCTGGAGAGTGACTCAGCCTGGCTACTACCTCCCTAGCCTACACTTCTGTGCTTCCATGACCCCTTTTCCAGGAATCCTTCATGGCTCCTCCAGCTTGGGTGCAGGCACTTAGGACACTCCCTAGCAATGGCCTTTTCACTGGCCCCACTACTGTGCATCCAGGGCCTGGAATATAGTAGGTGCCAAATATTTGTTGAGTCAAATAATAAGTCAGATCTACCCTAGGTTCTTTAAAGCTGATAACATTCCTTAAAAATTAAAAAAAATCCTCATGTGAGGTTATGTGTATTGATTTTAAAGAGAGAGGCAGGGAGAGACAGGCAGAAATACTGACATTTGGTTGCCTTCCATACGTGGATCTGCAACCTAGGCATGTGCCCCAGATCAGTGACCTTGTGGTGTACGCGATGATGCTCGAAGCAACTGGGCCACCCAGCCAGGGCCGATAGCATTCCTTGACTAGGGCTTCCTTGAAAAGAGAAGAGTCAAAGCTAGTGTTGCCCAATAGAAGTTTCTGTGAGGATGGGAACATTCTATATCCATGTTGTCCAGGACAGTAGCCACAAGAGGTTACTGGCACTTGAAATGTGACTAGTGTGACTGAGGAACTGAATTTTTAATAATAGTGTAATTAATTTTAATTAATTTAAAGAACCACATATGGTTTATACTATCCTACTGTTCCAAGTCTGTCGCCTTCCTAGTGAGAGGGGCAGTGGTGGATGAGAAAGGTGCAGAAGCCGGTGAAGGGTATTTTAGGAGGAGAGCTCCAGCTGTGAGGTGCTCAGTGGGTTGAGGGCAGCAGAGTAGCAGGGAGAACAGTGAGTGGCTGCTGATAGGTCTGTGATTCAGGTGAGGGACGACATGTCTTGATTGGTTTGCCGTGCCAGTGTCCCTGCGCACACCGCATCCCCATCTCCTCTCACCCAGCAGGTCAGACTCTAGAAAATTCCAGGCAGGGTTACCAACTGGGGGGTCAAGTCATGGAGAAATGCCATTGGCTGAAGAAGCCCATATATTACTGAGAGTGGCTACCTGTCTCCATAGGCCGGGAAGGATCTGTAGGACTGGGGAGAGCTGAGGAAGTGTGTAGCGGGGAAGGACAAGAAAGCCACCATTACCCACACCTGCCAGGGCCAGAGTGTGTTCTGCAACGCCTCAGCAAGCTCTCAGCTGTGGTTTCTCAACCTTGGGAAAAACTGGCACTCTGGTGTCCAAAGGACCCAGGTCTGAACCTGGCTCACCCACTCACTTCTTGCATGAGCCTAACCGCTTTCTCTTCACATTTAAAATGGTGCTAATAACATCTACTTCTTGGGATTGTTGTGAAGACGAGACATGATGTGTATGAGATAAACTTAGCCTAACACAGAGCTTGACACATAGTGGGGCTAAATGTCTCACACCTAGTAATAATGCTGACTGTGAGTAGGTCCAGCCTGGTTCTGGTCCCACCTGAGTAATCCATGTTCAGGGGCTCCTCCTGACAGGGGCTTCCCCGTACACACACACATACATGTGACCTTTAGGTGTTACAGATACTGCAATTGCTTTTTTGTTTGCTTGCCTGGCTTTCCCATTCCTCTCCTCCTGACAACACCACCCACTTCTCCCACCAACAGATCAGGCGTGTGACCCACTTCTGGCTAGGACCAAAGCAGGGCCAATCAAAGCCTTCTTTGAGATGGATTTATTGGTGTTGAGAAGGACCTTTCCAAACCTAAGTTTGGGCTGCAAACAGTTACCTTCCCCACCACATGGACAGAGCCTGTCTGCAGAAGTCAGTCAAAGACAGGCAAAAAATTAGTCTCGGTGACATTGAACACTACCCCAAAGTCCTGGCTTTTGCCAGCTGTGCAAGCTAGACATTTCTTTTTAAGTCTGAACTAGGGGAGTGCGGCCTTTGGTATTTGTAAAGAAGATGACTGCCTGGTGCAGGCCCTTGTGACCTTGAAGTCTGGGGTCATTAAAGAAGTACCCAAAACACAGAGTCAGTGGCAGAACCAGAATTAGACTTGCATGGCTGGTTCCAGACCGTCTGTGAACTATATCATACATCACTCACAAACATTTACTGAGTGTGCACTTTGTGCCAGATACTAAACTGGCTTCTCATCCCTCCTCCAGTACCTGCTCAAGGGCTCTTCTCCCCACTTCATTCCCATTCTCTAAGGACCCTTGAGTCAGGAAATATTTTAAAAACCCAGCCCTTCTCCACTAGGACAGGGTCCAGAATACTTACTGTCTTTCCAGAATCAATACTCCCAGAGCCCTCTTCCTGTGCCAAAGATATGAGAGGAGCCAGCCACCTATCTACCTACCTACCTACCTGCCTACCTGCCAGAGTCTGCTGAGCAGGGAGCCAGTCTTAGCTCTGGCCCCAGGCATCCTGGCAGAGACCCTGCCTGCACTGAGTTGTGAGCAACTACGATCCTGCTGCCCTGGGCCACTGTGACCATTTATGGGGATACTAAGGCCATTTTAAAATTGCTTTCCATAGCTCTGACCAGGTAACTCAGTTGGTTAGAGCATCATCTTGATATGCCAAAGTTGCAGGTTCAATCCCTGGTCAGGGCACATACAAGAATCAACCAATGAGTGTGGAGATAGGTGGAACAATACATTGATGTTTTTCCCTCTCCCTTCCTCTCTCTACATTCAATCAATCAATCAATCAATCAATAAAATTGATTTTGACCTAAGTTCTCCCAGATGTTCCTTTTCTTTGCTTTGCAAATCTGGCTGAGGAGAAAAAGGGGCACGGGAGCAGGACTTCAGGGTCACAGTTTCCAAGTCCAGTCCTCAAAGCAACCATGGGCCATGACGATGATGTGACCGGTCAGTAACAAAAGGAAAAATGCAGCCCACTGAGGGAGCTTTTCCTGAAGCCAAGAACCATTCTTTAAAGGGACATAAAATTCTTCCTCCTTTTTTGGTATTAATATTTACTGTCAGGTCGCTGATTCTCCTGAGCCTTATCTTTAAAATGGGGTGCAAGGGACAGGGTGGTTGGCCTACATGTCCTCGGAGGGCCTCCCAGCTTCAATATTCCAAGATCCTCGGGCGCTGGGCCAAGTGCACTGCTGCCTGGACTGTATCTCAAAGCCCGGCCAGCCTCCCCCACATTGTCTATCTCCACCCGCACGGATCTCTGCTCAGCCCCACGAGGCTGGCCCTCTTGGCTGCGCTCTCCTGCCTGCTCCTTGGCAGAAGCACTCCATCCTCGGTGTCCTCTGGATTACAGGATAACCCTGGAGGTACAGTTTATAAAAGGCAAGCATGGTTTTGAATAGCCTAATGTTTGTCCTGAGATAAGGGGTGGATCAAGCCCAGCCCCCACGCAGGCCTGGAAGTCAGAAGAACAGACGTCAGAGACCAGGAGCAAAAACCTAAGAATAAACACCAACGCAGGGGAGCTGGGAGAGGAAGAGGGTCAGAAGGGATGGAAGTTCTGGCTGAAGAATGGTATCACAGACTTAGAACATCTGAGCTGGGAGCCGCAGGCCATCCTGTGCCGTCTCCTCATGCTACAGATGAGGACCTGAAGGGCCAGGGAGGGAACAGGAGTCTGTGATGGGTGGGAGTTATATGCCTTTCTTTCTCTAGCATCAGCTCAGCTGAGGATAAGGCCTAGAGATGGAAAAGAATTGAGGGGAACTTGGAAACTGAGTCTAGGAGAGACCAGAAGTGCGAAACTGGGGCTGACCCAGGCCCCAGCCCCGTCAGGAGCCCTGTGTCCCTGCTCCCCAGCCCGCTCACTCTACCTGCCTTCTTGGGGTTCCTTTCGTTTGCCCTCAGCCCGCAGCTCGGCTCTCGGTACATCACAGACAGGCCCCAGTGGGCCTGAGCGAGAGGCTGGCAGGAGAACACTGGCCAGAGAATACGGAAAGCCAATGGATGCTCTCCAGAGCACCCGGAAACTCCACACACCTTGTTCAGAAGCTGTGGGAAGACGGGAGATGAAGAGGGACTGTCC